TGAGGGTTGAGGGTTAGGGTTTTTAGGGTTGAGGGTTTTGGGTTTGGGGTTTAGGGTTTTTAGGGTTGAGGGTTTGAGGTTCAGGGTTTTGGGTTTTGGGTTTAGGGTTCAGGGTTGAGGGTTGAGGTTTAGGGTTTTTAGGGTTTTGGGTTTTGGGTTTAGGGTTTTTAGGGTTGAGGGTTTTGGGTTTAGGGTTCAGGGTTTAGGGTTTTTAGGGTTGAGGGTTTTGGGTTTGGGTTTAGGGCTTCGGGTTTCGGGTTTCGGGTTTAGGGTTTAGGGTTGAGGGTTGAGGGTTTAGAGTTTAGGGTTGAGGGTTTAGGGTCTGGGGTTTCGGGTTTTGGGTTCAGGGTTTAGGGTTTAGGGTTTCGGGTTTAGGGTTCAAGGTTTCGGGATCAGGGTTTAGTTAGGGTTGAGGGTTTAGAGTTTAGGGTTGAGGGTTTAGGGTTTACTTGGAGGTGCAGGGGACTTAGTAAGTAGGTTCTAAGTAGAGTTATAAGTACCCTAACTGGAGTTACGCATATTATAGCCCTACTTATAACCGACTTGCTAAGTCCCCTGGGCCTCCAAGTGGGGTTTCGGGTTTTGGGACTTTGGGTTTAGGGTTCAGGGTTTGGGTTTACGGCTCAGGGTTTAGGGTTTAGGCTTAGGGTTAAGAGCGTTTTTTCATGAGGTTTTATGGGCTTCGGAGGGGTTGTGCAATGTTTTATATGGCATTGATGCTTTTGTTTGTTGCGACTTATGGTTTATGTTTGCAGGGTTAGGGGGGTTAGGGCTTCATTCAGCTTTTTGGGAGGTTGGGGTTTCAGGCGTAGGGATTGTGGAGTTGAGGGGTACAGGGTCAGGGTTTTTTCGGACTTTATTAAGGGGCGTGTGTCTTTTGTTTGATTTGTGAAAAGGCTGATGGGGTGTCATCATAGGAGTGTGGGTAGGGTTCTTTGCGTGAAACTCACATCATGTTGATGATGCTCTTCCGATTTTGCCGGGTGCCGGGTTTATGATTCCGCGATGGTGGAGTTTGGGTATTGCCCTGCGGGCGTAGACTTAGAAAGTAGTGGAGAAGATCTCAGTGGCAGGCTTTAGTAGAGCTGGGGAAGGGCTTGGGGGTTTACGGCTCCACGGTTTAGGGTTCAGGGTTCCCGCGTCTGTCTCTTTTGCCAATTTGCTGGGGTCATGCTCTACTCCCTCTTTTGGTTGCTGCATGTGATTGTGGAGTGACGTGCATAGCGTGCAGTCTGTCCACTTGTGCCCTTTGCACTGCAGACGCTGGAAGGGAAGGCGGGCGCAATGGGAGCAGAGGAGCCCCTTTCAGCCCCACTTGCAGCACACCCAACTCACGAGGAGGATTCCCTTCAGAGCCACAAGAAGGAATCACTTGAAGACCCAGCACTTGGACTGGACGAGGAGGATGCCTTTCAAGACTGTCTGGTGCTTAGTAGCAAAATCACCCAGCGGCCTCAAGCACCCTCAAGGGATCTTCAGCTAAGCTTCAGTCTAAGAGGGAGTGAGGGTTGCATAGGTGCTGGCCGGCATCTCAGTCCGTGCTGAAGCAGGAAATCTACTAAAATCTGCATGCCGGCTTACACAATTACTAAGCTCAAAGTCTTGAAAGTTAAGCACGCCCAAGCACTAGAGCCTCCACCCTGAACCCTGAACCCTAAACCCAAAACCAACGTGCGAGTGTGTGAGTCGAAACCCAAAACCCAAAACCCCAAACCCCAAACCCCAAACTCCAAAACCCTAAACCCAAAGCCCCAAACCCAAAACCCAAACCCTAAGCCTAAGCCCTAAGCCCTAAGACTTTCTAGATCCCTTCAAGGAGCCCTGAAAGGAACCCTTGAAGGAACCGAGATATAAAAAAGAAAGACTTAAAGGGATAAACTAAAACCTTTAAAGGAGCCCGGACCGTTCCTTGAAGTCGGCCTTGAAGGAACCGTTCCAGCAACCCCTGAAGGAAGCCTCAAAGGACCCCGAAAAAACCCTTAAGGGGAAGTCCACAAGGAGCCTGAACCCTAAACCCCTAAACCCTAAACAGTCGGTCCTTCGTCGGACGCCGGCGCGGCTTCGGATCCATGTTCACCATGTCCTCGTTTAGGGTTTTGTTGGGAGTTTCCGGTGTTCTTAGGGTTTAGGGCCGTCGTTTAGGGTTTTTTGGGGTTTTGTTGGGGGTTTCCGGCGCTTTGGGGTGTAGGGTTTAGGGCTTTCGTTTAAGGTTTAGGGTTTTAGGATTTAGGGTTTAGGGGTTAGGGCGGTTAGGGCTTTAGTTTAGGGTTTAGGGTTTTAGGGTTTACGGTTCAGGGTTTAGGGTTTGGGGGCTTTTGAGTTGCTTGGGGCCTAAGCCCTAAACCCATAGGGTTTTTTGGGGGTTTCATAGGGGCGTGTAGACTTTCGTGTTTGAGAACTTCTCCTGGGCTCCTGCGTACTGTTTTGGGACGGCCTGCATCCTATGTCTGAATGGGTTTAGGGTTTAGGGGGCACGGGGGGTTTCGACGCACAAGGCAGGCAAGGCTCCACACAATTCCGTCACGCCAGAGAAGCCCAAGACTGCAGAAGTTTCGGATTGAGAGTCTATGCTGCCAGCGATGATCGAATTTACAGCGTACTTTAAGCCATGGTACTTACTGCTACATGCAGTCCTCACTATGGACTTGTGACTCACTACTGCACCTGGCGTCATTCTTCAGTACTCTCCGGATATGCTTCCAAAACCCCGTACAGGCTCCCTATACCCTTTTCTTGAACCCAGACTCTGCCAATCAGCTGGGAAGCAGATCCCTAAACCCTAAACGGCCCTAAACCCTGAACCCAACTCAACGGTGCAATCCTGAAGTCGCCGCCTATTAACTGCCACAAGCCATGGCTCTGAACTTCCCAGCCTTCATGTCATACCGAACCCGTACCAAAAAACTAATCCTTGAACCCCTGAGCCCCTTCACCCCTGGACCCTAAACTTGATGTAACCCTTAACCCGTAAAAGCCAAAAAACATCTCAGGGGTTTACGTCCTTCTCTGTATACAAAGTAAATAAAAACCCTAATTAGGATATGGATAATAAACCCCCTGAGAAGGAAGCCCGATAAGACAGGGATATCCTTGTAACATGCTTATGCTTCTGTCCTTCTTGAGGCCCCTAGTTACTTCTGCACATGTTCAAACCCCCCTGAAGCTCAAAGGACCGACTTCGGTCCTCGAGGGTGCTGGCTTCTGACAGACTCTCCTCGTCATCTTCCTCCTCCTCGGGTGGGTCCTCTTCCTGTTGCTTTTGGATTTTCACGGTGCAGGTTGGGGGAGGGATTCGCCGGCTTAGGGTTAGGGATTGAAGGCTTCAGGGGTTTGGGGCTGGTTTAGGACCAGGGTTTAGGGTTTAGGGCCCTGGTGGCATTTAGATCAGGGTTCGTCGGAGCTCTGAAGCAACCGGAGCAAGGGATGAACTGAGGGCTTCCGAAGCTCTGGCTTTCTTTAGTGCCTTTAGGGTGCTTTTATTGGGGAGGTTTCGGGATTTCGGTGTTGGGACGTTTAGGGTTGGGGCTGATGTCTGGAGGTCTGGACCAAGAAGTTCCGGCGATAAGATTCTCGCGCTCATGTAGGCGCCCCAATAATTAAAATAGGGTTTTGGAGTATGTTATAATCTATGTAATTACAAGAATGATCCCCCAAATTAGCATAGGTAATTAAGGCCGCTATATTAGTGGCCCTCAGCGCTTATTAGAGACTACCACCCCGTTAGATGAGGGGCTGCTCGAGGCTCCCCGCAACTTCACGGAGGATACCCTACAATGGACGATGAATCGGAACAGCTCGCGCTGCAAATGTCCTCAAGCAAAATGATCAAATTTTAATTATACGCCTTATACCCAGTTACACCTCGTAGAACTCTGCTACATCGTAGAAAAGCCTATAAACCCTGCCTTGCCTCGCTGTCTGGGCGGAAGAAGGAAGAGGTCACGCTGCGGCTGCTGACGCTGCCCCGACTCTCCTCCGGCTACTAGAGGAGCCTTAATAAACAAGAAAGTAGGAATGTGTAAGTTGTCATGGGGTTGTGCAGGGTTTCAGGTCTCGGTCTTGGGGCCGTTCTGATCACAATACTGCTTTTAAGCGGGCTTCTGTGGGAAGGTGACTGCCGGAGCTGCAGGTTTCGGGGCCTTATAAAATTGAATAGTCAGACCAAATATAGGGGACTGTAGGTGATACTATGGGGTTGGCGGCTAAATGCGCATGTTGGGCTCAGGGGGTTCAAAGGGTTACGTCTTCGGATGTGGGGTTTTAGGCTTGACTGTTCAGGATCAACTGTGTAACCGAACGAACTGGGATTCTTGGGCCCAAGCTTTTGGTTCAGAGACCCCTCCGTGCGGATTTGGGCTCAGGGTATTGGGTGTCAGGACCTCTGCACCCATCCTTCCAACTCCTAGGCCGTGTGTCAACCCAGGCCTCCAGGCCGTTCGACCGTGCGGAGGCTTAATACAGGGGCCTTAATAATTAGAAGAGGGTTTTGGGGCCGACTGTACTATATTTATAATAAGGAACCCCCTCAAAATAGTATTGGTTCATTCAGATGGTGCAAAGTCCCACCCAAAACAGTATTGGTAATTATAATTAGAATAGGGTTTTGGGGCCCACTGTACTACATATATATTTCTAATAAGGAACACCCAAAATAGTGTTGGTAATTATTTAGGCCCCTAGATTATGCGCTGCTTCAAAACGGTCTGCGAGGAGTGTGAGCGGTGAAGGCCCGGCGGGGAGTACAGTTGTGGGTTCATTGTTTAGGGTTCTTTTCTTCAGAGTCAATAAAACCCTAAACCCTAAACCTCTAAAGCCTAAACCAAGCAAAACAAGAGCTCGAGGCCCGGCTATGTATTCTGAAGCAGGAAATCGATATTTCCATCTCTGAACATCCTTATAGGGTTTAGCGTATGGCCTAGATTCTATGCTTGATGCCCCAGCATCAACCGTACAATACGGGTACCTCTCGCTTGTAGTATTCATGCTTGGTATGGAGAAAAATTACAACGCTCCAAGGGCACTACTGGGGACCGGCTTGAAGGATCGGGGGCCTTAGGAAGCAGTTTTATAAGCAACCTAGCTATAGATAATTCCTGTATTGGCATATTGATCCTAAACAAAATACTGAAATACGTATAGCCTGACCTAAAGAAAGACCCATGATCTTGCAAGTAGGTGTTGCTTACAGGTTGAAAAATCCCCCCAAGGCCGACACCTGGATTCCTGTACTCATCTTGTCACCTCAAAATCCATCGCCTAAACTCTCCAATCCCGACTGTGAAACTAGCAAAACCCAGAACCAAAGCTCCGAGCCTTTTATAATCTTCTGTAAAACCATAGAAAACCTCCTGGAATTCTCTAGAAGCTTAGGGTTTAGGGAGATGCTCCTCTGGCACCAATCCTCGGCCCTTGGTCGGTGAAGATTGCTTCGGTGCGCCGTCGGAACGCGGGAGACTTGCCTGGACATGGCCCAAAGGAGCTCGATACTCCTTAACTGAGGAGTATACTTAAAATCATGATATTCAGCCCCCTATATTTTCAAAATATTTTCCCGAATTAAGGGGTATTGGGCTTTCTCGGCGGCTCCGGGATCTATGAAGCCTAGTTGTTGAGCTCCCTGGCCCAAAGAAGGTTGACCATGGCAGTTATGGTATTGCCATTGTCAGGGTTAGAACCTATAGACAACGGCATCAACAGTTCATGTGGCAGGATTTAGGGCAACAGGTAAGATTCCGACTCCCATTCACACAAAACAGGCAGCCATTCACAAGATGTCTGGGCAAGACGCGTATGATGCTACTTCCGAGTGTGTAGACTTTCGGACTTAGGGTTTAGGGTTTAGGGGTTTAGGGTAACTCAGCAAAATGTTCAACAACTCACTCTAACTAATAATCGTCAGGCTCTGAGGTGGGCCCCGAAGCCTTTACGAAAGTTCTTGAAACAAAAGCCTTCCAGCTGATGTGTTGCACTAGCATTATACATGTAAAATGCTGCAAAAAATACTGCAACTTTTCAGGCACCTGTAACCCTAAGCACCGAAACCCACATGCAAATGTTATACGAGAGTAGACCACACAACTGTCACAAAACGTCTTCCAATGTTGAAGGCCAGTACTTGTATTGGGAATGACACGCGGCTGTTTCCTCAACTGCTGCGGTCACGACGACAACACCTACCGCCAGCAGCAACATCTTCATAAGAAGCCTGTCCACAATGAAGCTCTTACCCCGCATCCACGAGTCAAGCCCCGGACACGCCTCTGGCGCGAGTCTTTGCGGCTTGCTTGCCTGCAGAGGCTCTATCAGTACAGGTGAGCGTTCGCCTGGGGCACACTAGGCCGTAAGCAAGGAATATTTAGGCTACCCGCCTACTGTTTCTGCAAAACAAAAAAACAATACAGGAGCTAGGAAGCTGTGGGGAAGCTACAACAAAATAGGCTGTCGGCTGGCCTATTTGTTATACAAGTTCAATGTACCCCTTCAAAGACGGAGGGATGCCAAATTTGGACCTCCTACTTCGCAAGGACAACCCCATATGGCAAGTTTCGATAGTCGGCTCAACAACTCCTTTATGATGTAGGGTTCTTGGGACATGACGGCTTAAGGATGATTGAACACCCTCGCATGCAGAGCCTCAGCCTGAGCCCCGAACCGCAAGCCTTGGACTCCGAAACCTGTAAAGCAGGAAACGCTTGAACCCATAAACCCCTAACATAGGGGCGCCTTGATACTTAGAATAGGGTTTCGGGGTCTGTTATACTAAAATCATACTGCGGAACTCCCAAAACCCTATTCCATGAATTTCTACATCCTAGATTTGACACAGCGGTTGGGACGCAGTGTGCTATACAATTGTAAACCCTTGTCTACAAATACCGATAACATTCGTTAGACTTCCTTTCTGTACTTACTGTGTAACACGGCCAAAAATTATATCCTAATTCTGAACACCCGTTTCCCCCGGCGGTTCAGCCCCTTGTGCGTGCCAAGCACCCACCCCGAACCCCGTAAAGCACGTGTAAAGCTCGCCCCGGCCGTGCGCGTTACGGGTCCTTCCTGAATGTGTCGCAGGGTTTAGGGTCCCTAAACCCTAAATCAAAATCCAATTTTGAAACCGGACTTGATGACTGCCAGCCCCGAACTCCCTGGCTGTGCCTTGGCACAGGACTTCTGCTCTGCAGGGAGAGACTCAGATGCTTCGGATGATGGGAGCTCTGCCTGCGGCGTAGCCTTCAGGGATTATATAGGGTTTATAATAAGGGTTGAGGGTTTAAGGCTTACCTGGACCCTGAAAAGCCGAACTACCGACCCCCTAAAACTAGCGCTTTTGACGTGCCGAAAACCCCATTACAAACTTGCTGTAGTTTTGAGGTCCGTAAGATTTAAGGTGCTAGCATCCAGCGCTTGAAACGGGTTTGGGCAAGCATCCGTAAGGCACCTGGTATAGGAGCCTGATTAACAAACCTTGATGCAGCGGTTGGGTTGTAATTTTCCACAACCCTGGGCCTAAGAAGCTTAAGGATTAGGATTTCAGGGTTGAAGGGTGCTAGATGTGTCTTGTTCCCGCTTAGTCTGCGAATCGCAGATTTTCCCCCAGGTCGTGAGCCCATCTCCCCAGTTCCTGCGATCTGCGGAAGTACAGAAACGCTGTACTGTTCGCACTGTCTGTGCTATGCATCGCTTCTAACGACGTGGCCTTCAACTCATCTCCACTGCCACTGTGCCAAGCATGTGCCAACGCATTCAAATAGCAGCACGTCGACAAGACAGTGCATGCCGCAGCACATCCCCAGTCGAAGTTCCACTTCGTGCATGCTAGGTTCGCTAAACAACATCTCTCAGCGCTGGGTTTACCACCCAACGTCTCCTTCGACCCTAGTCGATAGGGAACGCGATCGGTATGGACAGTTTTGAGGAGCCCATGCGTGTCCATGGAGGTTCAGTCGACGATCGCACGAGCACCCTTCACGTCCTTGCTGTCTTAGATCGAGGCTAAACCCTAAACCCTAAACCTGTTCGGAAGCCGATCTGGCTTTTTCAGCTGCTGCTCGTGGACGCTGGGGGGGCTGCCCTCCTCTTGAAGCCCGGCCCGCTTCTGATCTTCTCGACAGTGCACGACAAAACCAAACCGAAACAGTCGCAATGCAGGGAAAAACCGCTCCCACAAGTCTTGTCTTCTAAGACGAGCTCAATAGGTGCCCTTCAAGGCTTGTTATCCATGGGCGTGATTGATTTTAATGGGGTACCGGGGTGGATATGATATCGATCATATTTCTGGTTGTTCAAGCTTCAATATTATGAGTGGTTTTCACAAGGGTTCAGAAGCCTTAAAAGACTTATAGATTTCAAAATCCGCTTCTCAAAAGGCCCCTGTGACCCGGGATCACCATGAAGTTTAGGAACTTATAGAAAGAGCGGCAACTCCAGGGTTCGCAGGCCACGGAATCCAAGGAACTCCAGGTAAATCAATCATCCCTATACTCCCTCAACCCCTTTTCAGCACGGACTGAGGTGCCGGCCAGCGCCCATGCAACCCTCACCCCGTCTTAAGGCTCTAAACCCTTAATCCCCCAATACCCTAAACCCCTAATCCCCCAATCCCCAAAACCCCTAATACCCTAATACCTTAATCCCCGAATCCCCTAAGCCCGTAATACCCAAAATCCCAAAACCCCGAATACCCTAATCCCCAAAACCCCGAATCCCCCAATCCCCTGAACCCCTAATACCCTAATCCCCTAAAGCCCTAATACCTTAATCCCCTGAAAACCTTAATACCTGAAACCCCTAAACCCCTAATACCCTACTACCTTAATCCCCTAATCCCCGAAACTCCTAAGCTCTCGAGCCCTGAGCCTCAAACTCCAAAAACCCTGAGCCCTCTTCGCCCACAGCCAAGCACAATTAGGGTTTAGGGGTTTAGGGGTTTAAGGTTGAAGGTTTAGGGTTTAGGGGTTTAGGGTTTAGGGGTCACGGCTTTAGGGGTTTGGGGTTTTAGGGCGTAGGGCCTAGGGTAAAGTAAACCCTGACAGTTTAGGATTCAGGTTAAAGTAAACCCTAAGGGTTTTATGGTGCAGGGTAAAGTAAATCCTAAACCCTAAAAGGTTCCCCAACCGGAACTGTAAAGCACCAAAACCATGATAAACACTCAGCCCTCCCTCCAGACTCCAGACTCGCCTCTGCCCCTGCTGCATGGGGTACAGACGCCTCCTGCCCAGAATAGGGCTGACGAATTCAAGCCGAAAAATTCAAGCAAACCCATTTCTATGTCTAAGGAGGCTGGGATCTCCAACCGAAAAGAAATTGTGCGTGCAAAAGCTGTGGAAGCCGATTCTCCTACCGAGGTACATTCAGCTTGACGACTGGCCAGAAAAGCGGTTCTCGCTTTCCTAGACATTACGTCTTGCTTAATCACATTCATTCATAGCATCAGCGTGTTCATGACCGTCAGAAAAGGTGACTCAGAAATCAGAAAAACTAATCAAAGCTGACAAAAGACTCATCACTATAGTTACAAAGGACCTAGCTGTTCGCGCATGTCGTAGATACGCCGTTAGTCGCCACAGAGCGGTCCTGACTGCACAATGCCTGCGCAACAAAGCGATAGAAGCAAACCCGAAGCCCCACAAGACCTGTAGAGCCCTAAACCTTAAAACCCAAAGCCCTAACACCTGAAACCCTAAACCCGAAAACTGCTCAACCCTAACACCCCTGACCCTAATTTAAACCCTTAAGCCGTTAACCTTTAAGAGTTGAGTCAACCCCAAAACTTAAACCCAAAAGCCCTAAACCCTAAATCCCTTGACCCTGAAACCCTAAAACACTTAAGCCTAAAAACCCTTGACCCTTAACCCTAAAAACCTTAACCCAAAAAAACCAAAACCCTGAACCCTACAACCCTTAAGCCCTGAAGCCCTTATTCCTTTAAAACCCGAAAGCCCAAAACCCGAAAACCCGAAGACCCTCAACCCTAAGACCCTTAACCCTCAGACCATTAACCCTAAACCCTAAATCTGTAACCGGCATCGTTAGTCATTGGGGCCTCGGCAGCTCCTTCTGTGCCCTCTGCTTCCGGTGCAGCTGCAGGCTCCTTTCGGAAGATGGGTTTGGGGTTTCAGGATTTTAGGGTTCAGTGCTTTAGGTTTTAAGGCTTCAGGGCTTTTGGGGTCTAGTGCTTTTAGGGTTTAGGGCTTCAGGGGTTTCAGGGTTTCGGCGCTCACCCTCGGCAAAAGGTTTAGGGCTTAGGGTTCGTTTTGTGCCAGAGTTTAAGGCCTCCAGGGATTTTGTACTTGCAACACAACAGGATTTAGGCTTTAGGGTTTATAGGGTTTATCGGGTTTACGGATAGTCGTTTGGTTGTCGGCTTTTTTGTGTAGCGTGCTGACGTACTGTGGGATAGCGCAGGGCTGCGGGCCTAGATCTGACTGATCACCAATATTCTTTCGGGGTTCCATGTTACAAGTATAGTATAAAAAAAAGCCCCAAACCCTCCAATTATGAACGGCTCTATATTACAGCCCTGAGATGGAGAATCCCACCTAACACAACTCGCACAGGGCAGGCCAGGATCCTCCCACAGTCCAAGCAGACGATCGACACACAGCACAAGCTTCAGAGAGGGTTCAGCGACCTATGGTTTAGGGTATAGGAAGGTTTAGGGTCCTTGCCTTAAACAAAGCATACTAAAGCCGCAGTCTAGGATTTGGTGCTGCCGTTTGGCAACCCTCAAAGAAGAGAACATGCCCAACATTTGCCACTCAATGTGCTTGTCCATGTGCCGTCGGGGCGAAATGCTGTTGAAGAGTTGGATGTTAAGAGGCATCCCGGATCATTCGACCAGTATTCAGGCTATGTTGGGCTTGGGGACAATAACACGAAAACGAAGCAGAAAGCCCCCAAATCCTTAAACCAAAGCCTACAAGCCTAAACCCTAAACCCCTCAAGCCCTCGAAGCCCCAAACCCCGAAGTAAACCCCAGAAAGTTGGAAACCGGATTAAGGACAAATAGTGCTGGGATTCCCCATGCACTAGTCCTCAGGATTGAGGCTATTGGGTTTCCAACTGTTGGGCTTCTAGTATAATATAGGGGCCTTAATAATTAGAATGGGGTTTTGGGGCCCATTATACTATAACTATAATAATGAGCCCCAAAGAATGTTGGTAACCTATATTTTAAGCTACCCTAGGCTTCCAAGGACATTATAGTTAGGGCCCTAGACCCCTGAAGGACCCAATATTAAGGTCCCTGTAATAAGGAACCCCAAATAATGTTGATAACCTAAATTTTTAGCGCTCGCACTCGACAAATTAAAATCAGCGCTTCTAGCATCTTCTGGGGCCCTTGTGCAAAAGTCCGGCTCGGAGGGTCGGCGGGCCTAGGAGGCAGCTTTATCGGGCTTAGGGCTTAGGGTGTATATCAGGGTTTAGGGTGCAGGGTTTTGGGTGTAGGGTTTAGGGTGTATATGGGTTAATGAGGGTGCAGGGTTTAGGGTGTAGGGTTGAGGGTGTAGGCTGTATGAGCTATGTGATAGAGTTATCCGTATCATAACACCAATTTGGCTCCCTCTTTTTTGGGTGCTTAGACAGGTGTTTCTCATGAGAAAACATGTCTACCTGGAGGGTCGGGACTTAGTAAGTAGTTCTTTTATAGAGCTATAAGTATCATAACACCAAGGGTACTTTGAAAACTCTACCTGCCACCTACTCACTAATTCCCCCGACCCTGTGAGTAAGACCGAAGCTTTAGGGTTCTTTTTGCTTTTTTAAATCTAAAGTTCAGGGGGTAGGGTGTAGGAGTGTTTTTACGCTCTCGCAACTCGGACTCCGCCAGACGAGGTCTACGTGGGCAACTATATCATGCATCTTGAACTAGACGGTGCTTGTAGGAGTGCTTTTAGGGTTTATAGGGCTTAGGCTGCGCATCTGCTCCTTGTTGGCATCCTCGGTCACCAGTCCTTTAGCCGCGGCTGCAAAGATCTGCCTCTGAACTTCCTCCCGTAGCCTTAGCTTAGGGTTTAAGGTGCGTGTCGGAGTTAGGGTCCGAAACCCTAAACCGTTCAAGGCTCAAGGCTTTCATTAAGTGTCTGAAGCTAGGTTTAAGTTCTGGGGTTTAGGGTCTTTTAGATTACTTATGCGGTTTTGGGGTTAGCTTTGGGGTATAAGGTGAGGGTAAAAGCTAGGTCACAAGCGGATTACAAGTAAGGTTGTACGACAGTACCATACTTGAGGATATCCTAGTTTTCAAGTCCTTCTCAGCTGTCAACTTTGCAGGGGGGGGGCTTCGCGGTTTTAGGGTACGGGGTTTGCTAGACTACAGTATACAGTAGAAATGTTCAGAAATGGGTGCCTTGCACCAGTGCCAGTGTCGCAAAAGGCCAACCTTGGAAAGCCAATCCTGAAAGCCCTAAGCCATCCCTGAAAGCCCTGTAAGTCAGAAGCCCTGAGAAGGCAAGCCCTGCACCTCTCAGAACCTCGGCACTACGCACATCCCTTAAAAAAAAAAAAGTATACCTTGCGCACACTGACGGTAAGACTGTCTACTCAATCAGAAGCTAGGAGGGGCGGGGGCAGGGTCCGGCAATATGCGGAATGGATGAGAATTCGGGGCTCAGGGCTGGGTGCCACCGTTTGGGGGCTTGGGCTAATCGTCTGTTCAGAATGCACAGAGGAGTCATCCGGCATCACGTCTTGACGACTCGGGGTGGGACATTAATGATATGTTGTCCATCTCCTGTGAAGCGCCTGGGTTCTGGTGGAGCATGTTTTCAGTTGCTAGCAGCAGCTGTGGTAGGGCCGTCGAAGGAGTCTTCGGTGCATTCCCCAGCAATCCATTCTGGACTGTTGCTCCTGCGCCACTTTCCGACATTCGAAGATCTGAACTCCGATGCTGCAAGTTCCAAAACCAAGACTGCCAGACTGAACCGCGAAACCCTGGAATCCAACGCCCAAAACCCTAGAACGCCATGGGAGCTTCAAGCCAGCGGGAGCTACAAGGAAGCATAAGAAGCCAAGAGGCAGGCTTGCCCGGCCTAAGCTGTAGGCCATAAAAGGAAGCTGGCAAATGACGTGTCGGAGAGTCACTTTAATTCGAGCTTGCTCACCTGTGTACTGGGGCTTGGGGAAGCATAATTACATGCTACCAGCACCAAGTCTTGAATAGGCACCTAGAACTAAACCAAACTCAACCAATTTCAAAACTCATTGCAAAGATCTAGTACGCACTCGATCAAGCCCCCTCTATGGAACGAAGGTGCCCGTTCTAGGAGATGTCGCCAACTTTGTACTCTGCTACAATATCGTACCGAACCTCATCGTGGAATTCTGTGAGGAATGCGCAATTCGACGGTGCCCCCCTGCACCACGAAAAAGAAGGAATAATTCAGCTACCGTAGGGCCGTAGGGGTGTTTCGGTTTGGCTTCTTGCTAAAGTGTCAGAGCTCAGCTGCGGGGGCCGGGACAGGCTTCTCTCGGATGAGGGGTTTAGGGGTTTGGGCCTTGGGTATAGGTTTTGGGGTACGGGGCTTGTTACGCCGCTATCCGAAATTCCTTGCTGTCCACCAGTAACCCAAACAAGTACAAGGGCTTCGGGATAGCTTCTTACTGTTTTGGACAGTAGAGCCTGGAGGCTGCCGCCGTGATGCATACCCCTTCGGGTGGCAGAACTTCCAAGACATCGGCATCGGGATTGTCCTCCTCCTGGCCAGGTTGATAAAAACCCTACACCCTATGCCCTAAATCCTACGACTGGGGTGAAAACAACCAGATCAGACCATAGCCCTAAAAACTCTTGTCGTGAGATCCTGATGTTGATCGGGTCTTTTAGGCCACTTTCTGACGCCCCCGAGATTAGAATTTGGGGCAACAGGTCCTGAGTTTTGCAATCATCTAGACCTCCAGGTAACGTAGAAACGGATTCCAGAACACGAGCACAAGCACACAGAGGCTTTCCAGATCCAAGCACCTGAAACGTCAAACCCCAGCCTGGGAACACTGAAAGAAGATGTCCTTGCTGAGACCCTCACATCACTGAAGGCTCGAATTAACACCCTATAAGCCCTAAACCCCAAACAACGTGGCAGGGACAGGCGCCACGGCTCACCAATACGTCTTTCAAAACACGCCACGCGTCCATGAACAGAAGACCAAGTCCTTCAAACCCAACAACCGCAAATGCGAATGCTGCTGCTCCTATGTCCTATGTCCTATGCCCTCAAGCCTGACAGGCCGGACTTGATATCTTTCCCCCACACGAATAAGTTCCGAGTTTAGGTATTAGGATTCTGTGCAAGCCCCTTGCAGTTCACAATCCAAACAGTCCTGAACCCTGCGCCATACCCTGAATCCTAGGCCTAGTTTTGCAGTATCCTAACGGATCTACAGGCTAACCTTTAGGATTATAAAGGGTTTTCGTACCCCACAAAAGGTTATGTAAAGGCTGCATACTCTACTACCCACTACCCACTACCCTAAAGCCCTTTTGGCATCAGGACTTGCACAACCCATCACAACCCTAAAATTCTATAAACCCTAAACTCTCAAACTCCGTAAACCCAAGACCCTAAGTAACCCTGTTCATCACAGCTGCCGGGGCATAGAGGTCGAAGGAGAGGCGGGGCGCCAACGCCGCCTCCTTCGCGGCACCAGGAGGTTGGTTTTTTTTTGCCTCCCACCTAGCTTGGGTTTGGGTTTAGGGTTTAGGGTTTAGGGGTTTTAGGGTTTAGGGGTCTAAGGGTTTAAGGGTTTAAGAGTTTAGGGATTTAGGGTTTAGAGAGAGAGGGGGTGGACGCTCAAGCCCAAAGTTTGTGTTCAGGGTTTTAGAGTTAAGGGTGTCGAGACTATATCTCCGGATCTGCAAGGGCTCTGATGGCTCTGTAGAGGTCCTCATTCCGAAAGTTCTGAGCACTCAGATTACAGAGTAACTTGTTTGAAGATGACTCGCAGTGCTCGTGCATCTGCAACCTACTTCATTCTGCCTGAACCTAGAAGCGGTCTCTGACGCTGGCCTGATTAACATGCCGTGCCTTCGCCCTCCCCTGAAACCCTTTCCCCTGAAACCCCACACCATGAAACATCACAAACCCTAAACCATTAAGGAACCCAGGGAACAACTTTTTAAAACGTTGCAAAATGCCGAAAGGTAACCAAAAAATGAAACGTGGAATGAACCCTAAAGGAAACCCTAAACCCTCATAGCACCCTGTCTGAAGGCCGAAGGGGAACGGAAATGGAATGCTACCATTACTTATAGAGGTTCAGGGCACTTAGCAAGCAGGGCTACAAGTGATAAGCTGGTATAACTATGCTGGCCTACTTACCAAGTCCCCTGATCCTCCAACCCTAAACCCTAAACCCTCAACCCGAAACTCTAAACCGGAGCCAGCGGTCCTTGACTTTCTTGATGTCTACCGACGCAGCAGAGGCTTGCAAGCGCCGCGCTTCTGACTTCCTCGATAGAACTAGGGTATACCTGAACCCTACCCTAAACCCTGAACCGTAAACCCTAAGCCCGAAACCCCAAACAACCTACCCCCTTTTTTAAGGAACTATACAACGAAATCAGATCAAGGAGCCCTTTAACAAGTAGGTTTCTTCGGGTTTTCGGCTAGGGTTTAGGGAAACTCTAAACCATCAAATATGATGATTTCAGGGTTATAGGCTTTTTAGTTTGCCGTGGCCACCCGAGCGGTCGTGGAGTTTTCGTGGCCCCGGACTGTGGGGGTTCGAGGGTTCGGGGGTTCATAATCCCTAGACGGTTTGAGGAATTAGGGTTTAGGGTTTAGGGATTTAGGCGTAGGATTTAAGGATTTAGGGTTTGACTTGGGGGTGTAGGGTTTAGGGTTTAGGGATGTCGAAGCCAAAGGGCTATTTCCGGATGTCGGTGCTTTCGGATTTCGTGCTGGATACGGCGGAGCTGGTGCGCTGAGGGGCTGGGGGTTCAAGCAATATTGCAGGATGTAGGGGAAAAGGACAGCTCAGGGATTATACCTTACGTAATGAAACTGGCCGGCTGAACCTATGAACTGATCTTGATGTGGGTGTTTGGGGCGGAGGGTTATCCACATTATTCCAGCATCTCGAAAGCCGTAACCCTGAACACCAGTCTGTGGAAGCAGAAACCCTGCACTCCGGTCCGTGTGCACTTGAATACGAAGTCAAGTATGGCGACGGTTTCGATGGCCGACCAGGGCATAGTTTGCAGAAGGCTGTGCAGTCTGCACCGCGCGGTATCCGTTCCATGTGCGATGATCCTGAACCCGGATATGTAAGCACTTCCAAGACGGCAAAGGGCAGTTCAAGAGCTCGGGCTGTGCACCGTAGATGCTGCTGGCTTTCGGAGTCAGGAAGAACTAGCATAGAAGCCTGAATAATTATTCCTGAGGGTTTCTGTTAAAGTATAACGCGACTCCCCAAACACTATTCTCATATTTCCGGCTTAAACCCTAAACCTTAAACCCTTGCCCCTAAGGGCCCAAGTACCTAATAATCATATGCCCTCCCGAATATTAACCTGGATAACTACTACCCGTAACCAAAATACCTAATTGTTGGGTTTGCACCCTTAGGGTTACAGCTTTTGAGCCTACGCATTACAGTTCCTATAGAACCCCCCAAAAAAAATCAAAAGTTAGTGTCCTAAGAGCCAACCAGAAGAACGCCAAGTTAAAGTCTTAGAGCTGAAGCAGCCCAGAAGCTTCACTGATTCGCGAAGCTGCTCTCGGAGTTTCTGAAGCATCTCCTCCTGCGTCGCTCGCCAGCGGAAAAGCTGGAACAAGAACGAACATCGAAAACATCATCCTTGCAGAAAAGGCTAGGTTTAGGGCTTAGAGTTTAGGGTATACTACTTACCAAGTTTGACTCCATACTGCCCGAGAATGCAGTCGCTCCCTTCTTCTTCTTCACAGAATCGGGCAACTTTCAGCAATATATGCGTACTGTAGACTGGCTATCGTACCAGTACTAATACATCGCACGAGAAGCAGTAGCAGCCTATGCTGCTAGCTGCAGCAGCAGCAGTGGCACTAGTAGAAACAGTACCAGCAACGGTACTAGAGTCAGTCAACAGCCCTGGCTAGCAAACGTGCATGTGCATGTGAACATATATATATATATATGTATATGTATATAAAACATACAAAGACATAGATATGCAAATACACAGAAAAAAGTGGGGATGCGCTAGCAAACAGCAGATAGCCTTGAAAACACGCCGTGCCGTCCCAAGCCCTACCTTAAAGACCAAATGGACCCTAAAAAGCTTTAAGGTTCGCATACTTCATTGGGATTCATAGTAATTACGTATGAGGATATACAGCCCGTACTTTTTAGGGATCATTAGGTCCATAAGGCTCACCCCGCCACAAACGCACCTGTTCGATGGCCCGCTGAAGCTCGGAGTCTTCCGAATCCTGCACCGCATGCCACTTCGTACAGGGGCCTTAGGGTTTAGGGTTTAGGGTTTAGGGTTTAGTAGGGTTGTGGGGTATAATATACTATAAATAAAATAGGGATCCCCCCACAAAATAGTATAGGTAATTATTAAGGCCCCTATATTCGGACTTCTTTTTGGCAGCGCAATCGCTCCGAGCTCCAAGCCTACGCACTTCCACATCCCTACTCAGTTGGCAGCTTAGGGTCGAGGGCTTCGGGTTTATGATATCCGTGCTTCGGATTGTGCTGCAGGCTTTTGGCCCATGGCCGGTGTTGAACTGAAGGTTTGGGGTCAGCGCGCACAGGTGAACGCACAGTCTTCACTTCTTTCGACTGCTGATGTAGCCACTACTTCTAGCACGTTTTTTTTTTTTTTTTTTTTTT